TTAGTGGAGACCTCATAGAAAGCGGTGAGTGTGCAAAGCTGTGTTCAAAGTGATTGAAATCTTGGTCTGGGGTTTCTTTGTTTGGTTATGGAGGCGTCTGGCCGAGTGAGTTGCTATCAACTTGACCTTTCCAGGCTCTGAAGAAGGCGAAATTCGCCGAAACGTCAGCTTAATCGTGAACAAAGAACAATAACACCTCGCGTTTGCTCAAAAATACGAACAAAATCTGTTTCAATTAGCAAACTTAAAATATCTGCAGATACCTTCTTCGATCGTCAAGCAAACACGAGAATGATGGAAAAAATTGATTCGACTAGCGCTTCGACGTCTTAATTTTCTTCAGAGCCCAATTGATCCGAGTCGACGATCTGCAGCTTGTCGTGCTAGAGATGTGGACGTTCGTTGTCGCATCAAGTCGAATCCAGTGACGTGGAGCGCTGAACGAATGAAGAAGCTCACTTAATAGGGCCTTTTTATACAAAAGGGTGCTGATCTGTTGCAGCCATTCTATCCGTACCTTTGCCTGCGATGGATCCTGCAGCGCTCGATATTATTTTGGCTGTCACACAGCGATTCAGTATTCTTCGAACCGATTTTCATTAAACTTCAGCAAGAATAATCAATAGTTTTTTCGTGGATAGATGCAACCTCACAGATGCTCTGAGTAAACCATTCCATAGAATACAAGGGCGAGTGTTGCGCAGTGGTTAGAGGTGCCTTACAATATACATGTGGTAGTTGGTTCGATCTCGTGCCTATGACCCACCATTCTTCTACTCCTTCGCACTCGATAAATTGGTGCCAGACTTGTCTGCGATGGTGGCAGTACTGACTTGACACATCAGCAGGCTAGCACAAGTACAGACCAGATATGAACTTAATCAGCTATAAAGGTGCTTAGTGAAATCGAATGCACTGCGCATCCCTGAGGTACTGATCAACGTCAAGAGATTTTTCCTTTATTTGTTATGAGACATAGTCAAGGTCCCAAAAGTTTTGTTGAACCTCGGGATTATTCATGCATAGGCTTACTGCACCGGTATTATAATATTTCAAACAAGTAAACAACCCGGAACATTGAAGAAGTACGAACAAGTTCCAGATGAGAAGCATCGACCACGACAATCTGTGCAAATTCATTGGGTTATCTATGGATGGATCGCAATTCCTATCAGTGTGGAAATATTGTTCTAGAGGATCCTTACAGGTCTTACGTTAAATTTTCTTCTGAGCTTGAAGCACTACGGAATATGCTGTGCCCTTCTGTTCAAATTACTAGCAGTCTTGAAACGACGCATGGTTTTCAGGATGTCATCGAGAAAGGCTCCATAATGCAAATGGATTGGTTTTTTAAATATTCTCTCATACGTGATATTTGTGAGGTGAGATTTTCGCACAAGAGCAAATTAACGTTGTGGTTCATAAGAGAACTGAAAATGACAAAAATTAGTCCGTCTGTTACCTTCACCATTCGGCAATTGGATCACACGGTTGGATCAGTTCCAAAAGCTGTCTGGTCGACGAGAAATGGCAGGTGAGTGAGTTTTGCGCAACTTGCAAACTCAAACCTCATACTGCTTCATTTAGATCCAGTCATCTTCTTATAACTGACTAGGCTTGCAAAACTGGAAGATGAAAGATATTCACTCATAGCTAAATCTACTTCTAAACAAGATTTTATGGAGACTTATAGAAAATTTTTATTTTGTAGGTTAAACTTAGTTGTTTCGGTCTGGCCGCATTCAAGGCAGTAGAGGTTAGGGAACAAATAGGTAATTCTACTCTGCATTTTTCATTTCTACCATCCCTTTGTTTTGTTCTTTGGAATTATCCATCTAATGTCTTTATGTTAACACTATTTCGCCTTGTCTAGACAATTTATGGCTCGCGCCAGAACATATTCGTGATCCATTGTTGGCACCAACTAAAATGGGCGACATCTACAGGTTCGCGTTGTTCTCAAATTCAAACCGAATTCTCCACTTTCACCGACTATTTGAAATCGGCACAAATCGCCTACCTGAGACGAGTCACGACTTGCTAGATCTGTTCTGAGATCCAACCTCTTACCTTTGACCCTCATAGTTCTGAGAATTTTCATTCTATGCGTTCCAGATAGATGAAATCAATTAGCATAGAACCGTAGGAGACTTATCCAATATGAAACCCTGCTTATATTTCCCTCCTGCTTTTATTTTTAAATGAAACCTCTCTCCAATATTTTTTCGCTAATCCATTCTTACCAAACTCTAAATGAAAAGTAAACGGTAAAAAATAGGTAATCAATATTTCGTGCAATTCACAATTGCCACTTTTCCTGTTGTTGTAAGGAAAATCTCAGCAGATATTCCATTCATGCGTTCCAGTTAAAACCTCTTTAGCAAGTACTGCACCTGTTCTAGAGACTTCATATCTTGTTGTGCTCTTAAATTACTTTTCCATATTGTTGCTGTTACTGTACTGATGTCATCTAGGACATGGTGAGTAGGTACTCTACCAGTTTTATTCGAAGAAAACTCGGAAAACACAGGAGAGCTCTATCACTTTGTACCTCTAGACCAAACACCATATTGAAGAAAATGAAAGCGTATTTGGCATCTTCTGGAAACCGAGAACACAGAAAAGAGAAATCAAACGCTGTTATGAGTTTTTCCACTTACCTATCAACTTCTATTGACAAATATTTCACAGTAATATCGATCGCCTGTGGCGATAACCTAAGAAACACTAGTGATAACTCCTTATTTGACCTTGGAGGCGAACAGCTTAACATGTAACATGAGGTCTTTCTCGTACAACGCAGGAAAAAGATTTGTAAAGTTTCATAGTAAGACGAGAGATGATTGGAGTGCACGTAGATTATGCCTTTTGTTCTATCACTTTTCCTAATGTCTTCAAATTTGATTAATTGTCATTTGTTAGAGGTTATATTGTTTTTCGACAACCTGCAACTAAACATTTAGCTTCGCTGTTGTCTGCTCAGAGATCATAACTAGGAAATCGGCGTGGGACCACCAAAATCAGGATTGTGATATAGATGGTAACTTGGCATAAATCCTCATTTGTTACAATCTGACTTTAAAATAGAAATCTAAGGTTGTGCATGATTCGAAATCACTACCTCATCAAATAATTGAAATGTTATACTCCACGCACCTGCTGTGACTTCTTATAGATTTACTACTAATATCTGCAGTGTTTATCTGCTATTTACTGCCCACTATTTTTTCTCTTTGGCAGGAGATAAGAGCAAAACTATGTGCTTGGGTATTTAGCTTCTCCTTAGCGTGTTAGGTTTCTAATCGGGTTTCTTAATGATGCTGAAAAGCCTACGAATTTGGGAGGTGGTTTTCTGAGACGTTTGCTATTCAGAGTTGATATATAAGATAAAGCGAGGTGGTCGGCCGCCTATTAGACCGCAGTTGGACACGGAGGACGAGATCAACTCGAGTATGTCATTGCTGGTGAAGGACTGCTGGAACGAGGACGCCGATCAGCGACCGTCTTGTGATCAAGTGAAGTCGTTTGTCAAAAGCATGAACGACGACAAGTACGTCTATTTGTACTCTATATTTTGGCACTATTTCACAAGCTGAAAGAAAATAAAGCTCACTGTGATGATAATATTGAAGAACAAGCTTGAAAGGATTCTATTTCAAGATATTGATGGTGACCGTCGAATAACACTTTGATTCCTTACATTCACTTCTTCGATAAATAGAAAATGGAAACATGTTTTTTTTTTATTTTGGTCCTTTCTAGGTCTTCAAATCTTATGGACCACGTCTTCAATTTATTGGAGCAACACGCTTCAAATCTTGAAGATGAAGTGGAGTTTTCTTTACAATACGTTTTCCGTACGAAATCTGAAATAATATTTACATCACCTTTATTTTAACTCTTGGTAAACGAGAAGCGATTCGTTGTTGAATACAAAATAGGTGCTGGCATATCGACTCTTTTTCGCAGATTCAAGCTCGAATGGAGGAACTCACCGAGGAGAAGAAGAAAAGTGATATCCTACTCTATCGAATGCTACCAAAGTTTGTCTGCTTCTGTTTTTTTTTTTTTGATTTTCATTCAGTGAGAGTTTGATTCTTTTGAAAAACAAGCACGACCTAGTATATATCATAGAATGTATTCACACTTCCTCAAATTTAAATCGAAGTAATTTAAGCTGTTCGAGAAGGTTTTAGCCGTATAAGCGTTGAGCAATTTGCTTTAGCGTTTGTAATTTCCAGAAATTGGATCGTGAAATATCGAAACATCGAAATCCAACGTGAAAATTCTCCTTACGCACGAATTTTCTTTAGACAGGTAGCCGACAAATTGAAGGCGAAGGAAGCAGTAGAGCCAGAGGCGTTCGAATGCGTCACTCTGTTCTTTTCGGACGTGGTATCGTTCACAACTCTCGCTAGTAAATGCACACCTTTGCAGGGAAGTGGTCATTTAGTCATAAAATCCCAAGAACTAGGCTACAGAAAATTTTTGGTCATTACAGGTGATCAATTTCTTGAACGAACTGTGCACTTTGTTCGACGCAATCATTGACAAGCACGATGTATATAAGGTCTTACATTGAGAATGTTTCAAACGGTTATATGAGATCAGCACGGAGTTTTTCAACATTTTATTGACTACGTATCACTCTTTCCTAACATGGGAGTAGTTGCTCAATGTCGCTTGCATGGACCTGTGCCGCGGTGATCGATGTAGTTTTCAAATTTTGCATCACCTCTGAAAGTCTTGTACCGCTAGTTAACCTTTGAGGGCCAGAACTACGGTTCTGAAAAGCAGAATTCGGATAAATTACCACGCGTTGAAGAACATTCTACGTGGCTAATGCACAAAGTGCATTATAGCAGCTCATGAGCAAATATTTTAGTTCACAGAATGAATAAAGCAAATTAGCGCAGCGACCGGTTAGTTGACTAATAGTCACCGTGTATCTTCTCGACTCTTGAAGGTGACTCTGTTGTGATATCGACTGATTGAGAATCTGTAATAGGTGTGTATTATCCTCTAAAGTTTTGAGAGCCGTGAATGAGAGTTAGAAAGTAGGAACTGCAGTGTTAAGATACGGAAATAAACTGCAGGCTCTAGTCGCCAGATGAGCCCATGGCGCTGGGTTTTGAATGGAAGTGCTGGCGATTGGTTTTTTCTGATCGAAGTGCTGCACGATGAGACCCTGGCTGCCTCTGTCTGCTACGCGAAACGAAGGACCCGCATGGCGTGGTGATGAACGCATTAACCCACTGGAAAGTAGTAACTTGTTCGATCCTCACCGCAGACACCTCCGGTCCGCGATTTTGCAAATATCATCATTGTGGTTTTCATGGTATTTCACATCATGTCTTGCCATCAAAAAAGAATAGGCAATGAATAAAAAGTGATAAAAATTCGTTGTTTTGCGGTAAATGTTTTCCATATTCTAGGCACGTTCCAATTCCCTTCGTAAATCGCGGAAACATCAAGATGAAAGTGATGTTTGTCGAAGGGGCCGCACTGTATTGGAAACATAGTTCCCGATGATAACGGCTAGCCTTTAACATGATGGATGCTGACTGTTAAGATAGCACCTGTTAAAAGGAGCTCACAGTTCAACATCTTTCTACAAGCAGCAGAAAAGTGGAGAAGAAGCAAAGCCTTCTCATGCAGGCCTGGTTCGGGTCATGTGTTTTCCGATCTTTCTGATGAGTAGAGTCGATAAGAAGGATTCAACCATCATAACGGTCTTCTTCAAGACCCTTTTGTGTGCTGAGAAAGCAACAATGATTCGCAAGCGTACTTAGGAGCAGTCATAAGAGTCGATGATCTAGGAAAGTTCATATTGAAGAAGTGTAATGTTACACTTTATGGTTTCGTTACGAATGCGAATGGGTGTCATGAACGTTTATGGCTTTCCAAGAGCGATTATCAGCTAAGAAACGTCTAAACAATTTGCCAGCCACGAAATATTTTGTAACATTTTCCTCTAATACAGCACAAGTGATATTCAGGATGACCTTGGGAAGAAAACTAGGTGAAGTAGTTTAACTTTTATTTACTGGTTACCCTTTTTTCACAACAAAGTTCTATGTGGAACATAAGGGTGCTGAAATATGGACGAAACGAAGAACGTCACTTAGGCTCCCAACACGCTATTATTCTTACCGTCAGCTCACACGCTATCCGTTACAATCCAGGTATTTGCTACGAGAAAGGCAAAGCAAGACATGTAGTGAAGTTAGTGCAGCGAGTAGTATGCCAGCTCTAGGTAAAGGTAACCTCGAGTTCGAAACCACATGAGGTTCCGGACTTTGGTCATATCTCAGCATTCTTCCAGGTGAAATGTTGTTTATGTTGATCAAATAATGTTTACGCAATTTATACTAGAGAGAGCCTTTATCTAGCATTCACGCAGAATATTCGAGAACATCATAGCGCGTTTCGATGCCCTGACCCAGGTCATGGTTTTTCTCTCAATTATTATAGACGTTGCAAAACTTTTTCTGCAACCCAAATTTATGTAGCTTCAGAAATTTGCAATGTTAGCTTGTCTTAGGTGGAGACCATCGGTGACGGATACCTCTGCGCATCGGGATTGCCACAGCGCAACGGTAACGAGCATGCGAGGAAAATCGCCGACATGTCGTTCGATCTGCTTCGAGCCATCAAGGAATTCCGAATCATGCATCTGCCTAACGAAAGAGTTAACATCCGTGTTGGAATCCATACAGGTTTGTTATCCCGTTAGCGCTTTTGTGCAGCAGTGGGTTCTTCAGAAATCACACCGGTGATGAGACATAGGCTACATTTTTCATTATCTGTCGTAAGTTTTTCATCTCTCATTTCTCCTTTCTCGGAATACTTTGGGACTCTGCCAGTTCTGCTATTCTCACTTGGCACTGGATAAAATCTTTGAGTGATCCATAACCAGCACCTCTAAATCACATCAGTACGACGTTGTCGTGGAAATGTCATGCAAACATCATTTCGTTTTCTAAAAATGAATACTATATTTAGGCCAACAGTGCTAATATAGAGCCTAAATACTATTTATTAAAACTGTTAAAAATTTTCTTTTTGAAAGATGAAATACATTGAAAATTTTTGTTATTTCGGGTAGCCCAAAAAAGGTTTTCGTTGTAGTTTCAACATCTTATTTCAGATTTCTTTGCCCTGTAGTCTACTTCACGGTTCTCCCTCACAGGGGCGTGATCTTATTCCGATTAGTCGCGAGGCAACGTGAAGCATTTCCAGGTGATGGATAGGGGTTAATCACACACTAAAAGCGGCATTTGCTTCTCTGAGGCACAACCGGATCCAGAGAATGGACTTTCAGTTTCTGTTGAGCCGATTTGGCATAGACGTTCTGTGTTTACGAGGCGTATCCATGCATGCGTGCTTACAGTTGATTTGGCTAGAACTCTGCAATAAGTGAGTGGAAAGCACATGAAAGGTAGTCTGGAGTCGCGTCTTAACAGAAACGTCAGGGTTACCTTGAGAAACCAAGACAGGTCACAAATCAGCCATTAATTATAACTATTCGTAATGTCTGAAGCCCGTAAACTTGTCCAAAACAGTTTTGCAGCCATTCACGGCTAAGCGTTAAAAGATGAAATCAAGTCATTCCCTTTAAATTTTTTAGTAATTCTACATACTGTTTATTTTATATTCTTACGTGGACTTCAAAAGTTTCCGTGGAGATGTAACAACGGCGATTTCAAAACATTCATTAACCCAAGACAAGTCTGAAGAATGCCACATAACGACTATAATGGAACTTTTATTCCGATTTTGTCACTTATTCTTTTACTTCTTCGGCAGATATTGGAAAGTTGCACGAAACATTCATCAAAAAATATCCGGCAAAATTAGGACCACTGCGAGAGTAGCAGGATTGCGAAGTTTTGGAGCCGCTAGCTAACTTCTCTCTCCAGAAACTAATACAGGAACGTAATACAATACGGTATAAATCCTATACAACTAGTTTTTATGTCTTCTCTATATTTTGCACATCACTGCACCAAATCCAACAAAAGTAGATCCTCAGAGAATGAGGAGCAGGAACACTGGATGAATGGACTGTGCCAGAAAACTATGGGAAACATTAGCTTGGACTATAAGTCGCAAGGCTACAGCGACCGTTTCGCAACATTTACGAGGAACAGTCGATTCATCCAAGATCACAATTGGGTTTCATTTATTTTTCTCTTGCATCTACAGCTACGCTTTCTTTCATGCATGTTGGGATACATGTTTGGTGCCAATCTTCTCCAAACATCAACATGAGTTCTTATCAATGACAAATTTTACAGCAACCAATTCGAACAGCATTACACTTGAATTTTTGGGTAAACTGCCATAAATCACCATTCTTCATAGCTTTCCTGAAGCAATGAAATTCACCCAGACAATGAAAAGCCGGCAGAACCGTATTGCTGCCGAACACATCGCCAACTGTTCCTCAACCATCTGCCGTTTGTTATCTGCAAACTCTTCAGTGAGGTTAATCTCAACAGAAATAGCCAAACACTGGTGAAAAACAGCCTTGAATAAGCATAGCTTCCAAAAATTACCATGGATGTGGTATCCACGTGGTGAGAAAACGGTAAGTAATAGTGTAGGCGAAAGGTGTCATTTCCCACTTTCATAGAATGAAGAAATCACCCTTTTCACTGAAAATGGATAGATTTCTTGTAATGTGATCGAGTTAAATAATAAAAAGTCTGCGAGAGCTCAATTTTTGTTTAGCTGACGGTCGGGAAAAGTCAACATAGTAAGCAGTAAGCAACGACGATGAAGCGATTTAAGCAGTTTCAGGAAATCTTGGAAAAGTTCGCAGTTTCGATTCTTTCGATTTTTCCTTAAGTAGCTCCAATAATGATCGATAGGATAACAATTGGTGCAGGTGATGTCTATGGTTGAATATGTGACGTGAACTCTTATTACTGAACTAAATCGTAACTAATATGTTAAAGTTTCGTATGCCCCATGAAAATTGCGCACATTTTGATAGAAAGGTAGGTGGCAAGGCAGTGTTGTCTTAGCGTTCTCCTCAACAACAACAAGCAAACTTGGTGGCCGTTATAAAGGCATGAGTGCTATTCGTAGCGGAATGAAAATGATGATGCACATCTAGCTTTGGCTCGGTGGAGCTATACCTAAATAAGACTTTGCTTGACGAACAGTTCAGTCAACTTACATTGGACGATATATTTCTACAAACACCTCTTTCAGTATATCCAAGATTTCTAGGACCAATAGTGACAGGAGTAGTCGGGATTACGATGCCTCGATATTGTTTGTTTGGCGATACGGTTAACACCGCCAGTCGCATGGAGAGCCATGGAAGACGTGAGCAAAGAAATCTTCGACGTTTTTCCTCTTCAGTGTTTTGCAATCATTTCGTAACACTACTTTCATTCTAGCTCGAATCCTTTGTAATAGAATTGTTTCAGCAGGTCGAGTGCATATTTCCACAGATACGAAGAACTTCTTGACGCAAGTGATTGGTGGCTATAAAACGGAGTCAAGAGGAGAAGTATTAATTAAAGTATGTGTCACAGAAAAACTAATAAGAATAGTCCAGAAATAATCGCTCACTGTCCATTACGGTATCTCCGGTTCCAAGAAATGTTCAAGAATTGCTGAACGGTATTTCGATTTCTCTATTCTCACACGTTTGAAATTCCGTCTTTGCAGAGGGTTACCACTCCCCACACGGTTATACCCGAAAATTAACTCTTTATGACAATTAGTACTGTAGACTGCACCTTTTCATTAGCGAGTTCATTCATTTAAGTGGTCGCTAGATAGTGTATTTATTTCAGGGTAAAGGAATCCTACAAACTCACTGGCTGCTCACCCCCGAAGAGCAGGAGCAATCTGAGGACTGATTTAATGGGCAGTGACACTTTATACTATGCTTAGCTGATTTCAAAATAAGTCTTATGACAGATAGAAGTGCGAGTAATATTATTTATAAGGCTGTTAGAACGCCAAGTAATTGATGGAATATGATAGATATGTCAGTAATGTAAAGACATGGTTTAGTTACTTTCGATTTCAATTCTATGAACGAGTTCTACGTCATCTTAATATGCTGTAATAAGTATGAAAAGAATAAATAGTATAAAAGAAGCAGAGGATGGTAGAGATGTCGCAACTGTCAGATCCTCATTTGCAATGAAACCCTGTAGTTTTCAACGATGCTGAGATATCTGCAAAACTCCGGACCTCAGTTGTATGCGGTGGGGAACGAACACGCGCTGTTGTCCTCACCGGGGTGCAGCGTAATTCACCACCGCACCATCCGGGTCCTTCGTTTTGCCTGTCTCTCAGCTAGTTCTATCGATCTTTTGCCATCAGCAATCACCCGTCAGCGGGATTGATCTGGGGAGCCTAAATTAAGCAAAACGAAGGACCCGAATGGTGTGGTGGTGAAGTGCGCTGCACCCCGGTGAGGACAACAGCGCGTGTTCGTTACCCACAGCATACAACTGCTGTCCGGAGTTTTGCAAATTTCTCAGCATCGTTGAAGTTATATTTCACAATGAATACCTTGCCGTTAAAAAGAGTAGGCAGTAAATAACAAGTTGAAATTGTGATTGTAACTGCGGCCTCAGCTTAACTGGGTTCGTTGCCGATTTAGGCCCTCCAGATCAATCCCGTTGATAAGTGATTGCTGATGGCAAAAGATCGATAGAACCAGCTGAGAGACAGGCAAAACGAAGGACCCGGATGGTGCCCTTACGACGCATGCCCTGGATCGTGTCTCCACTCAAAATAAGGACAAAAACTGGGAAAAGTTGACAAGATTTGCCGCCGGTATTGAATTTATTGCCGCTTATGTTTGGTTTCAGGCACTGCAACACGATGTGGATCATAAACGCTATCCCTAAGAATTACGGTGAGCACAAAAACCGGATTCTTAGCTCTTTCCGACGCTTTTCTTCTACAGCGGCGGCGAAACAAAGATAAGAATTTTCTGTCAATATGTATTAACATTCTAGTGCCAATCGAGTTACTTCATAATCCATTGCAATGTAGTACTAGACAGCTTTGGCGAGTCGGTTGAACCTCTTTTTCTATGGGGATTGTTAGTTCATGGAAAGGCAGTTTTTCTGTGATGTAGTTCGGGTAACAGTTAGATAAAGTTCTCGTGTGGGACGGGTTCACTCCTTGGTCGAGTAGCTCTGATAGGTTTACATTGTTTTCGACGCTGTCAAGTGCTTTCTCTTAGTTTCAAGAGGTTAACATGGTCGGTTGTGTCTTATCCAAAGTCCTTTATGTGTACATTACCATACTCTTCGTGAAGAGCTTGTAAGAAACACGCACAACAATCATACCGGATGATAGTTACGAGGCTCCCTTCGGTTACCCTTTTTGTTCAGGTTGACCGCGCACGACGTTCTTCACTAGGCGAGGTTTGCTCCTTTTTTAAAGAAGATGTCATATGGTCGACGGTGATATTATCTGTTGCTGGAACTGTCTTTTATTTTGCTTCCTATCGCAAATGCAACCTCAGAGGGAAGAACTGCAGATGGATTTTTTTTAGTGTGGATGGTTGGCCCCAGAACGAGAGTTGTGAAATGAAAAAGGTTGCTTTAAAATTAATCCGTCAACAATTTCATATTTTTGCGGGAGGCTTTCGTGATTCCATCATCTTTCACCAAAGTTGAGAGCAAATGATGTACTCACCCTTGTTCCAATGGCATTTCTTCAAACTCGTTTTTTTTTGTTTTGCTCTCAGTAGTTTATTCTTTCTGTATTGATGTAGGTCTTTCTAAAAAGCTCTTCTGCAATTGACATTTATTATTAGCCGTCTTAAAAGCGTTACAGCATAGTCATCCTTCCGGTTCCTTCTTTTCTCGAGTAGCTCCTCAGTGGTAATGGAGGAGAAGTCTGATATTCTTGCTTGAGGGACTGAGGCGAATTCGGCACGGCTTCCAAGCCCTTCGACAAACGTCACGTTGTTTTCGGTCCGGTCTTCGGTATTTTGCCAGTCTGGTTGGATAGGATTTCGCTGAGAATGTTCTCATTATATACAACAGGATCAATTCACTGTTTCCTAACCCTTTTATTCGCATAATAAACAGCTGCTCCCAAACAATTTTTGTTTTGTTCCTTTTAACCTTTCCAGTTATTTGATAGAGATCACCAGCACAAAGTCCTACATGGGTCGAGAATCTGCATGGTTCATGTCAAAAACTTAGCCTTAAGCATGAGGAGAGGTAACGCGTGATCACAATACTCCTTCATTTTGAATTTCTTGGGATACGTGCAAAGAGCGCGCTTGGCGCAGTGGTTGGAGGCGCCACTGCGACACACACGTGGACAAGTGGAATCGATACCCGCGCCCATGGCCCACCAAGCCCTGCATCCCTCCGGAGACGGCAAATTGGTACCAGACTTGTACGGGAGGATAGCAACACTGGCTAAATACATCGGTAGGCCACCGCGATTATTGTAAAGGTCAAATATGGATTCAATCACTTCCAAACGATGCTTAATAAAGTCGAATGCATGGCGCATCCCTCTGGGATTGGTCAGTGCCGAGGTTATCATTTTTTATTTTATTAGTTTTAAGTCGCAGACGAATTCACAGCTTTTCGGCTTGAACGAAATCAACGGTGATCATCAACGAGTTGTTCCACCTGACGTCATTATTTTGGTCAGATATGCATCAAGTTGAGTCCAACGATGCATGGTTAAGTCGGGTACATCTCTCATATTTAGAATGCAACGGATTTCTTTTCAAGTAACAACGCTTAATAAAAGGTGCAAAACGACATTTGTTTTATTAAAGTTGAAAGCAAAAAATAAACAATAGTCTCCAGACAGCCTAAGCCACAGTGAGAGAACGCTAGTGGCTCTACCTGCCACTTTCTTCAGAAAATTTCAAAAAACGATAACCAATACATGCGCATGAATCTGTGAAAAACGAAAGACACTTTTAATGTAAAACACCGTACCTGATTTGAAACAAGCAAAATGAGACCCGGAACCAAAGCAAACTAACAGAAATGATGTTTTCAAGTGGAATTACAGACTAGTTGAAAATTGCACAATTGAGAGCATGTTTACTCGGCTACCAAAGATGCCAGTCGCCGTGTGAATGGCACACCATGTGAGCGATCGAGCTCCGGCATCGTCACCTGGTCATATTAACACCTTTGCAGAAATCCGCTTCAACCCGCTTCTTCTCCTCATCTTCTAGCAAATCAACGACAATATGCGTGAAAAGTGGTTTCATTGTTATGTTCACCAGCTTGTATGAGAGAGAATTTAAGCCATCGATTTTCCAGTCATGTTTCGTCCGAGCCATTAACTTGAATCTACAGCTAAAATTTTAATAATGAGTGAATAGCTATTGATTTATGGCAATTATCTATTTAGAAGAGCAAAGTACCTTCTATTTTTTCTTATTTTTTTCTAAGCGAAATACAACCACAATGTTGCTGAGACATTTGCAAAACTCTGGACCGTAGGTGTCTATGGTGAGAAACGAACACGCTATTGTCCTTTCCGGGGAGTAATGCTTTCACCCCTACACCATACGGGTCCTTCGTTTCGCCTGTCCTTCAGTTAGTTCTATCGATCAGCGCCATCAGCAATCACCTGTCAACGGGATTGATCTGGGGAGCCCACATAGGCGTTGAACCCAGTTAAGTTGAGGCTATAGTTGAAACCACAATGCTTTACTTTTTATTTCCCGCATACTACAATTTTCATGGCAGGGTACTAAGCGAAACACAACCGCAATGTTGCTGAGATATTTACAAAACTCTAGACTGCAGGTGTCTATGGTGGGGAACGAACACGCTACTGTCCTTTCCGGGGAGTAACGCTTTTACGACCACACCATACGGGTCCTCGTTTCGCCTGTCCCTCAGCTATTTTTATCGATCAGCGCCATCACAGTCACCCGTCAGCCTGCGATCCAGAGTTAAATATCTCAGCAACATTGTGATTGCATTTCGCTTAGTATCCTGCTGTGAAAATTGTATTACGCGGAAAATAAGAAGTAAAACATCTTTCTTTTCTATTTCTTCTTCTTTTAAAGGGAAGTCTAAAACAAGAAAATTTTTTGTAGGAAATTGCAATAGCTGGAGGGTTAGAGGACTTTATTTCAGAGATATTCATAATTTTGACATCGTCTTCCGATCCTCAATGGTTCTTTTGTTGATAATGAATAAGAAGTACGAAGAAAGTGGATGTTTTTGTCGACTCGAAATTCACAAGAGCAAGTGTAGCTCAGTGACTGGAAGTACTACAGGGTCGGTCGTTGGTTCAATCACGTGCCATGGGGCTCACCATGCTTCGCATCGCTCCGGGGTCAACAAATTGCAACCAGTCTGGTCTGGAAGGATAGCAGTACAGAATTGATGTATTGGTAGGCTATTGCAGGTCAATGTTTAGGCCAGATATGGTATTCAATAGCTTGAAATAATGCAAAATGAAGTTGAATACATGGCGCAACCCTCAGTGAATGAATGATCAACATCGGACGCTTTCTCCTCGGCATTTTAACATTAGGCAAGATTCTAGCTTTTCGAGGAATTCCAGTGTTTTAATTCGAAATTGTCTATTTGAGAAATGATGTTCCTTTGATCGCTTTTCCTTCTGTGCCGAGTAATCCTTGCCGTCTTAATAACCTTGGAGTCAAAGATTTGTCGTCTCGATTACTATGGATATGAAACTCACGGGTTTACTGGATTAGATTTGTCGCGTGAATGCTCTAACATTGTGTATCGAGCAATAGTCTCGCTATATCGGACGACCTTGTATCCGAGCAATTCCACTCTAAACACTTGTTTATACTGACATTCATGTGGAATTTTCTAAAACATTTTAATTATCGGATAACATATATGATTTTCAATTAGGTCATGAAATTTTCGTCACAATTTCTGTCAAAGGTTTCTGTTACGCTTTCCTTCTGCATTTATTATGATTTTGCCCACATCCAGATAGTGTTCATTGTTTGAGACTTTAGTTCGTTAATCTCTAGCTTCTCAATAAAGCAACTGGCGTTAAGGATCCGAAGGATCGTGAAAAGAACTCTCCGCTTAGTTTTTTAATTTGATGGTAGTTTGTGCCAAAGGCGCTCGGAATCTATCCTGTAGGAATGAGTTCTCCATACCAACAACAATCTGTACATGCTCAGTTCTTTAAGCGAACTGTTGATAGGATACTAGAATGTGAGTATGCAAAAGAAACACACACTGACCTAAACTCACCATAAACACTCTTTAAGAGTTGAATGCAAATAAAGGATTGTAATTTCAATGCTAGGGGAGTGGATAGAGCAGTGGTAGTGATCTCGTTCATTGCGGGGCTGCCCAACCTATCTAGGCGCTGGTTCAACTTTTCCAGGGCCTACCAAACCACCTCGCCACTCTGGGTCGAGAAATAGGCACCGGACTTATCTTGGATAACCTTGCCTCATTTAATCCACTTGGGAATTCGCTAGTACATGTTCCACGTATATGTCAGGATTCTCGGGAGTAGCGAATCCACCAGCGTTAATCAACATTCATAACGAAGAGGAAAAATCCTCATGCAGCATCCGTAACCAGGCTCCTGGAAGTGTTCGAAGGCCATCGTTGGTAATAAATGCGAAGAAACGAAACAAGTGGAAGAAGTGCTCAGACCAGCATAACGTGATCCATTGGTATCACATGAGGATATATTCACCTGGTTAAGCTTGAATGGGGCGTCAGAATCAATTCTCTTTCTCCTGAATACGATTTTCGTAAGAATTAATCAAGGACCGGCTTTTCACTGGCGTCGTCGAAGTTAGCTAGCATTGGTTCCTAATGCTTGTTGTTATAAGAACTACGTCATCAGCAAAGGGAAGGTGTAATTGCCGACTACCGATTTTTCCTCCCATTTTATCCCATTCCAATGTTCGAATGACTCTCTGGAGGGTGGTAGTAAATAATTTTGAGAAGATGATGTCGCCTTTTTGAATCGCCTTCTTTACCTCGATTTTACTATCATTGTAAAACAGTGATACGTCGATCATAAAATTTTTGTGTAGCTCAACGACAATCTTTATATACTAATCAGCAAAGCCTTAACTATGTAGTCTTGGGCGAAATAGGCAGTGGTTCGATACCGTATAAAACTTTGAGACAAGAAGAACATCAATATGTATTCTTTCTTGATAAGCTTGCACGAGGTTGATAAATATATTTATTTTCGGCTAACGTTTCGACGTCTTCGTCTTCCTCAGAGCCGGTGATCCGAGTCGATGGTCCATGCTTGTTGTTCGCCTCGACGTTGCGTCTTCGCCTTCCTGTCGAGCCAGATCTTCCTCAGAAAAGAAAGAAGAACATCGTTCAGGCAAAAACTTCGATCAAATATGATGTAGTCTATTCTACTACGGTGCTCTGTATTGGGAAACCCTTACTTCCGTCTCTAAGAGTGAGGCTTTTGGAATTGTGCGTTACAATGAACGGTGTTTCCAGACATGATAAACTCAGATGTCTACTCACCCTACTTGTTTCATTCTAATTCGTGGGTCTCAATGTGACGTTCTTCAGGTGTTCTTCTTGGTCTTACCATAGCATTGAAATCTCCGATGATGACCTTAAAGAGGGTCTACTTTATCGCCTTGAAACTATGTACATGTGCTATTGCTAGCAACTAGTTCAACCACTATTAGCTAGCACAAAACTAATAGCGAATCAATACCATCAGGAAATATTGACTGACTGTATGCTAAAATAATACCAACTGCTGCAGGGTGGATATTTCTTTACATGACTTGTCATCACATCTAGTTTGCGGATAGCAGCACGTCTTGCATTCGAATCGTTTTTCTCGTATTCATCTCCACAGTGGTCTTCGAACATTTTGCGTTTTCTTCCAGCTGCTGCATGAGGATTTAATCTTCCTTATGAATGTCGTAGAGCGGTGGTCGAGTCATTTCTCCCTACAGTCTTGGAGATAGCACGCCAAAGGCGCTCCCACGTATAATACAAGAGAACACTGGAGAGGGGGACGAACTGGCGACCTTGATTCCTGATTGACGGCTTCACTAACCACTGCGCTAGCCCCGCCCCCAACAGGTTGGATTGCCCGTTGGCAAAAACTGTTATCAACACACAACCACAACGTTGCTGAGATATTTGTCAGACTCTGGACCGCAGGTGTCTGCGGTGGAGAACGAACGCGCTTTTACCCTTTCCGGGGACTAACACGTTCACCCGCACACCATACGGTCCTTCGTTTCGCCTGTCGCTCAGCTCACAATGCTATCAACACACACAATCATTATCAACCACAACAGCTTTGTATAAAATAGTCGGGTGAGATATGAAGAAGGAGGACTGCGGACAATTAACTCCGATCATCAGCGTATCTTCAATCCTTGACGGAGGCAACTGAGAAAACCAATGATTCTTTTTAACTATCGTATCATTTTCGATTAACTACTTTCCGTAGCCTACTAAGTATTAGGTACATCCGTCCGAATTAAGATTTCTGCTAGAGGTATAGCGAGGTGACAAGTGTAGAACGTTGTGGACCATGGTTAGGGCAATAGAGCATTTTAGTTCCAAGGAAAATTGGTACAAAGTTACACTCAAATGGTAAGAGTTCGTGTTCAGCCTAAAAATTTTGCTAAATATGTGAGTTAAATGGGAAGAAGTTTGTGTCTTACGTGGAGATTCCAAAAATCATCCAAATGCCGTTACCCAGTACTACCACGAGCGAGCCTCATCATTTCTTCGCTACAAAGAATGGCATAACTCTGAGTTAAGATTTGTAGTTTTCTTTTAGACACTGTTATAAACGTACTGCTATGAACGTTCTGTCGTTAAATTGTTTCACCTTCTTCAGAATATCTATCAGCTTCCAATTCGAATGGATGTTATGGAGCTCTTTGGAATAATGATATATTTCCAGGCTATTAACCACAATCAAGAGAATTGTATAACGCATCATGACTTTGTAGCATCGTCGAGTTTTGGTATGCTTTTGCCAGCGATTCAAAATCACTGGAGGTGAACGAAATGATCTTACCTGCCAACAATATGGACAGGGCCAGCTTTCCAAGACACTTGACCCTTTCGGCTACACAATGATTTTTGCGACAGCTTAAAATCAAACTACCTCCAAAACATATGAATTTGGACGAAATCGTGCAGTGGTGACTAGCTTCTTTTCATCGAAATCCCTATTCATTGGCATTTACCATCAAAACAACAAAAAAAATTAATAAAAGAAAGCCTTCAAAAAGTATCGCTCGCACGCTACATATACTTGAGCTGATGGTTCCCGAAAGGCAATCGTTTGTCGAATTCTTTTCGAACGTTTTCTCCATTCAAAACGAGGACTGATAAGGGCCGTAAAAACTGCTGATAAATCGCTCAAAATAGAACACTTTATTGATCTGAAACAAAAGCAAAAAACATCTTAGATGAGGCGACATGGTATAGGATCAGAATTCCATGTCTAATAGCCAATGTTTATAACACGCACTACCCAACTTAACCAGGTTCTACTTCACATCGAGCTTACCGAGCCGCTTATGACTCAGGGGTCAGGAAATTGGTGCTAAGCTTGTCTGAGAGAGTTTGACTCCTTCTAATCAATGCAAGGACACCTTAATATTTCTACTAGGTCGACACTCCAGGAAGAGAAGATTGACCAGCATTCAATGAGAATCGTGACAAAGAGCTAATAATCGTCAATCACCAACTGAGCCCATAAGCAACAAAAGCGCGAAGGCCTCCAACAAATAAGCTCCATGTCCAGTCTGGGAGAGCCTGGCAAACCACCCGTGAGTAAACCCAGCCTCCGTGTTCAGAGCCCAGCAAACTATACGTGGGTATCAAAAATGCTAAAAACAGTAGAAGAAAACGGGCCTCATTCCCCTGACTCCGAGAAGGCCACCAACTTTGCAGTGCTGGGTGGGACGAGTACGGAGAGGCTGCTAAAATCTCGGCGCCAATTTAAGCTGCCTGGATTTCAAAGGACTAATGGTGACGGTTTTCGTTACGGCCTCCTGTTATACTTTCGGGGAATGTATCTATTGGCATATCTTTATTATGCGTCATGCGTCAGTATGCGTCAGAAACCTGGTCGCTGAGTAAACAGGTTGAAAAACCAGCGTCATTGAACGTGCAGTCGAAAGGGCGATGCTGGGAGTATCCCGCTCCACACAAGTGAGGGATGGGATCCGAAGCTCCGACATGCGTCAACTATCAAAAATCAAAGATACCGTTTTGCACGCCGAACAATCGAAGATAAGGTGGGCCGGACACGTAATGCCTATGAATGACAACCGATGGACAGGAGCCGTTAGTAACTGGATTCCTCGGAATGTTAAACGCACTGCAGGAAGATCACCAACTCGATGGTCAGAGTTCTTCACGAAAAGCCTACAAGAAAGCTATGTCAACGAGTCCTTAGAGCGAGCAGAACCCCGTGGGCTACTCTCATAACTGCTCGATTCGGTCGACGACTAACGGGACGGCAGGTGATACGGGCGAAACCACTGGCAATGCGTTTTGGTTAAGAAAAAAGTACCCTTTAAGGGATATGTACTGTGCGAAGCTTACAAACTGTTTTCTGATTAGACTGAATGTTTGTTAGCACTATATTCGTTGTCAAAGTCCTTTCATATTTTACGATTTGACTATTTAACTACCTTTTCTAGAATAATCTGTGCTAAAAATACACAAAGTCGGTCAACAGTCACATAGTGATAGACCAGTGATTTCTAGTAAGCTGATCATTACTAGGTTTTGTTAGTCAATACCACTGAACAATATTCAATTGTTACCTGGTATACATATCGTCGTCCTCTCCGCCCCATCCCCAGTAGCGGTTCGAAAAGCCATTAACATTCCGAAATTGCTCCGCAGTTAGAGCACTGCTTGTCCCAAACATTCTCTCATAGACCAGTCTGAAATTTGTCAAATTTTCGCCAGCATCGTCAGCACTATAGCATCTTCTCTACTTAGCCTCGCGAACACAGCAGGATCATCATCTCATCGCTATACAAATCACAGAATTGTGTGAACAAGAAATGGACGGAAAATATAAATAGAAGGAATAAGAACTAAATTCGTCTTGTCAACCAACTTGTAACCGAATTTATTCACAGCAACAGCCATGTGACGAGGGTTCTCTAGTGGGCAGCTGTGCAGATTGCGATCGTCCTCAGGGAGAACGTCAACGTCATGGAATATGAAGCATTGCCAATCATAGAGTTTCAGCGCCTCCACGAAGCCGATGTTGAGTAACTGTGTTGTAACCACGTGATGAATCAAAGGTGAAAAAGGTTATTTGAATCTTAATATGAAGATGAAACATTTGTTCGATAGTATTAAAAACCACTGTGACGCTACCCATTATAATCACATTATAAGGATAAAAAGCTCTCGGCGTTTATCAAACGCTGAGGAAAGCGCCATGCATTCGACTACATTAAACATCGTTTGGAGGTGATTGAATACATACCTGGCCTTTACAATGACTCGCAGTGGCCTACCGATGTACCGAGCCAGTGCAGCTATCCTCCCAGACAAGTCTGGTACCAATTTGCTGACTCCAAAGGGGTGAAAGGCTTGGTGGGCCAGGAGCGCGGAATTGATCCCATGTGTTTGTGTTGCAACGCGCCTTCTACCATGGCTGCACACGCGCCCATTTACTATAATCATATTACTGACTGAAAAAGCTTTGCTTATTGTTTTATGAATCAAGAGAACATACTCTCTTCAAGTGGACTGAATAAGGACTCAAAAACTAGTTTAAATTACAAGCTATGTTTGAAAAGAAGCAAATTAATATCGCTTGTATCGTAACCTTTGCTCTATTCACCGTCCGGTCGACCTGCTCGACGACGATGATCGAGTAATCCAACTTCTGCCTTGTTAAGAAGGGATGCATATTATTGAGGAAAATTTTCAAATGTGCTTCTCTGTCACGATATGGAACAATTATGGCGGCCTGTAAAGCATGAAGTGATAGGACTTCACAGCTCTCCAGAAGTGATCTTAAACTACCGAAGAGACTCGAAAGGTTGTCTATTTAAAATTTAAGGAAAAGCAGTTGGACAATTACTCTTTTTTCGCTGTACACAAGCGGATACACGACATAATAAGAAATCAAAAATTGCATGGACGATGTTTTCATCCATAAAATTGGTCTATAAAGGATGTTTTGGTGTAAAATTTTTTAAACTGAACTAATCTCTAAGTTCGTGGATTTACCCGAGTAGTTGCTTTGCAATCCTCGGGTATATGGTGTCCACCAGGTTTCAAGTACTGGTATCTCCTTTCCAATTCTTCCATGTCACTTTGTGTCTTGTTGATGCTTATCCTACCTTGGAATTCACTGGAATTCAGTGTACAGTACTCAACTTGGCTGACTTTCATGACGGTAGGCGAGGATTCGTTTCCTGAAACAGGAACGACATTGCATTTTAAGAACAAACCAAAAAATATGAATCTTCGTTGAAAAGAACGTCACACTTAAATAGATTTACAGCAGATTTTTGACATCGCTTCATGTGGTCGTATTCACTTGTTAACACATTGAAAATCGAGATCTTCGCTGAGAAAAATCAAACATGTGCTCAGTAAGACTTTTCTTTTGCCAATTGTGGTCGTCACCAGCTTATTCACTCCAGTAGAACGGAATTTTGCGGGGACATCGCTTTATAGAGGCATCATTTTTGGGTGTATCCATATTGATTAGAAGTGTTTCGCGTAACTTCCCTACAACATCATTGGCCACACATTTGCTTTCTTCCTGAGAAAATTTGGTTTAAGGTCTCTATGGGAGGTTAGCAGAACTGAATTGCTTCCTGACCAAGTCACTGCAAGTCATGGGATAAGTAAGGTATCCATTCAATCACATCTGACGATACTTGGTGAAGTCAAATTTCTCAAGGATTCATTAACGCTAAACGCTTTGTTCTTTTATCCTTTCACGGCAAGTCTTTATGTAAACCGCTTTAATGGATCGCATAGCAGTTGTTCATTCTACTTCAAAAGTGATTCATTGTCGTCTTCGAAATTGTATCGTCCTTTATGAAACAAAGATATAATTCTGTTTCGGTTTCATACATTACTGTAGCATCTAAGGTAATTCATCTGCTGAAACTAACCTGTACGACCTACACTCAAAGTGGATGTCGAAAACGTGCTTGTCAGCAAATTTGACACTCCACTGTTCTTCAAGAATTTTTGATACAAGAGCTTAATGGGATTCTGCAACAGTTACGCATCTAATAACAACAATTAAAAGAAGAAAGGAAACAAAAATTGTTGCTTCTACTCTGATGTGACTCCCTCTCTCAAGCACGATTTCTCATAGACTACAGTGCAAAAGGTGTGTATCGATTTGGTGAACACTTGTATTGCGTGAACGAGTATTATTGACAAATTTTACATTTCATTTGTGATTAATGACAGACACTTGTAAAAAGAACTAGCACAACTTTAACTTATTATTTACTGCCTACTCCTAATGGCAGGGTACCTTGTGAAATATAACTTCAATGATGCTGAGATATTTGCAAAACTCCAGACCACACGTGTTTCCGGTGTTTGCTGATGGCACCGATAGTAGAACTAGCTGGGAGACAGGCGAAACGAAGGATCCGCTTGGTGTGGCGGTGAACGCATTATCCCCCGAAAAGGGTAATAACGCGTTCGTTCCCCACTGCAAACACCTGCGGTCCGGAGTTTTGCAAATATCTCAGCATCGTTGAAGTTATATTCCGCAACAATTAGCGTAGATTCAAAAGGGGATTTGACGTTTGAGTGAAAGATAAAGAGAGTTTTGACGATGTTGCTTTAGTTCGCCAAACATCATAATGATTCAACTAACATGATGAAAAACTGCCCAAGCTACTAATCTGCATTTTCCTTCAAACGTTTTGAACACTCACTTCGTTTTAGCACAAAGAATGACCCAACCGTTAACCTTTTATAGATTTTAGGAGATCGTGTGGTGCTGTATTCATCACATCTATTACTATACTTTAATAAGTATGCAGTAAATTAGCTAAATGTAACCAGTACGAGAACTCACACGGATATTGAATAGTGACAAAACACTAAGAACAGCAACGACAATGAGAATTAGTCTGCAGGTATGGAAAATTTTCTGAAATACCATTGAAGAGCAGCGTAGCCACACCATGGTTGGAGAGGGCTTCCGATGATTAACGTGGTGCATGAGACTTGTGGGCGGCGATTATAAAGGGTGAACTGTTGAATGAAATATGAAAGCACATGCTTCAATATATATGTTCGCTATAGAACTCTGTGTAATACAAAGAGTGTGAATGGAAACGAAATCACACAGCACGACCAGGCAATAAATTTCCTGAAGAGGCTTCACTTAGTTGGTGAAGAAAGTCACTATCACCGTCTGTCAAATGAACACCTTGGTGCATAGAGTGCAAGCGTCACCTTTCTTGCTAGTCGTACCAGTTAGTCATTTTCATTTAGCGTATTTTTTCTTAGAAGTTAATTATTCGTTTCCTTAACTATCGTCAGTCTTTCCTTCTTATCTTTACCCTTCAAAGGTTCCGAAGTAAGCATTCTCACCTTTTTTAAACCTAAAAACTCCTTTTTACAGAGTAGAACCTCACATGTGATTTCTTTCAAAACTACATTAAGCATAACGCTTGATGATAAGTGCAAGCAAATAACAATAACAGCATGCCTCAAAATGGGGTCATTTTTTTCGCGTCCAGAACCGTTAAACCATTCAGCACAATCGGGTTAACATTAAAGAACAGCAGTGTCAACTAGCAGCGTTAGATTTGTTATTATGATATAAACTGGTGTTTGGTAAGTGAACCTTCGTAATTGGAGGCTCTCTCCTCCCATAGTGAGATCGGCAAAAAATAGTCGCCAGCTTTATGAGGACAGTAGACTCATTCTACACCATGGATCCTCGATAGGTTGCTAAGGCTTGATGATTCTCATAAATCAGAAACGTGGCATTTCCGAATATCCTGATATCCGACCACTTTTTCTGGAAGCCGTTATATCGTTGCTTCTGTAACAGCTTCTCAAACTTTGCATTCATACGGGGAACATTTGTACTGATCTGTCTGCTTATATATTCCATTCGATTTGACTTCCACTGTTTCTTCGTCCACCTTTCCAGATAGATATGCGTTCAAGATGCATTGTGCAAATAATGGCATAAAAAACTATGATTGTGTTTTTCGAAAGGTCGGGGACCTACATCAATATTAATGTTTTTATGAAGTAGGAATCAATGTAGCTGCATTGGTGACCATGTTGTACTTTCTGTTGATGCATTTATTTTCCACTGTAATACTCTCATTTACAAACTTCGTTCCACACGCTGGCCTCGACACTTCGACAAGCACGGGCTCGGTTTGTCAGCTTGTTAGTTTCACCTTTTCACTTTCCGCTTCCTTAGAGTGTCAGCCTCTCCAACACTGCACGTTGGTGAAATATAAGCATCTTACTTCTCATGTCAGAGCACACTGTTCAGCAGTGACATTAATAATGAACTATATCAGTATTGTAGTCACATTTTATTTACTGTCTATTCTTTTTCATGACAGGGTATTATGTGAAATGTAACTGCGATGATACTGGGATACTTGCAAAACTCTGCACCGCAGGTGTCTAAGGTGGGGAACGAACGCGCTGTTGTCCTTTCCGGGGAGTAGCGCGTTCACCACTACACCATATAGGTCCTTCGTTTCGCCTGTCTCTCAGCTAGTTCTGAAACTATTAGTCATTGAATGGAACCGCTGATATAGAAGGAAGGTCATAAATCGCAGCAATCCAACTAACTGTGGACTCGAAAGATCGACTTCCTATAAATCTCGGCATTGATACTAAATACATTTATTTATATGATCTTATAAACTGATCTTCTTTAGCTGATGCGAGGTTGGTATAGGTCTTTGTTGTCGTTGTCGTTGTTGTTGGTGTTGTTGGTCGACGGCTGACGTTTCCGCGATTTCGCCTTCCTCAAAGGCCGGACGTATTTTATACAAGAATACTTTAATTATTCAGTGGAGAAAAAGGGTTAAAGTATTAATGAAGACCGAACTTTTAAATAGACGTCATATTGATCAGAAAGGCTACACACCGTGATGTTACGAGTTGGACTGGTCCAGGAGTTGTTCACGTGGGGTCGCGAGCGAGGCACACCGAGGGGTCAAAATATCATTTTGAAATAGGGCGCCAGGTCACGCGTCATAGTGAGGCATTCGTCTCTCCGGTTCATGTTTGGATCTTTGAAATTTATCCAAAACGCCTCAAGAGCTTTCCGCGTAGCTGTTTTCAATTCCTGTGCTAGCAACCGCACATTCACTTCAAAACCATTCATTGTGCTTTTGTGCCCTATGCGTACCTAGAGGGGTGTTTAGACGGATTTTAGCTTTTCCATCTAGATGTTCTCTTATGCGGACACAAAGTGGTCTACCTGTTTCCCCAATATATTCCTCACCGCATGCGTTACATGAGATCAAGTATATTACCCCTGAACTCATGCAATCCCCGTCTCTCTCGTTAGAACAGATCGAACAGTAATTCTTCGTATTCTTGTTGAGCAAACGCGAGGTGTTACTTTTATTCTTTATTCACGAATAAGCTGACGTTTCCGTGGACTTGGTCTTTCTCAGAGCCTGAAAACGTCTAGTTGACAGCAATCTATTTGGGCAAACACCTCCATAACTAAACAGAGAAAACGCTAAACCAAGTTCCAATCACATTGAACACAGCTTTGAACACTCACCGCTTTCTATGAGGCCTCCACTGAGTATATCGCGTGAAAACCAACGGCACAGAATTCACATGGATTCGTAGTCTGCCTTCCCATCAGCATAACAGGCTTATGTGCTGCGCAATATCACGCGTGATAATGAGGCATTCTTCCCTGTGGTTCATTTTCGGATTTCTGGAATTAATCTAGAACGCCACGAGAGTTTTGCGCGCATGTGTTCTCGATTCTTGTGCGGAAATTGCGACACGTGCTTCAAAGTCCTCTCCGTTATGTCTCCGGATCTTGTGCATGCCTAGTGGGGTATTTGGTAGACGTTTGCCGGCTGTTCTAGGTGTTCTTTTATGCAGACACAGAGAGGTCTGCCGGTTTCGCCAATGTATTTGTCTCCGCACGCCTTACAGGAGATCAGATAAACTATACCCGAGCTCATGCAATCACCGTCTTTACCATTGGGGCAAATTATGCAATTTTGCGTTGCATATAGACGGTCATATAGGCGGTTACAAACTAGCTGGCGCCTAGGATTACTCGGTGGCATTTCAACAACGTCTACTGAATTCTCTGGACCCGCCCTTCTTAAGCAGCGTTTTGTAGCTGCACTTACATCATTTGAGATAAAAGGTAGGATAAACGAGTCCTTTCTATC